ATATATTTTTTTATTATAAATATACGCATATATGTATATATACAATATATATAGTTTATATGTATCACATAAGAATATAAAAGATATTAATAGTTAATTGGTATAAACTAAATTTATAATTTAATACTAATCTTAGTTTGCTTCTTTGGTTTACGTTTTGATTTCTCAGCTTCCTTTATTGCATCTTTTTCCATTTTAATTTTCTTTTTAACTTTTTCTCTTCTTCTTTCTTGCGTTTAATTTCTTTCGCACTTGCAAGCTTTTCTAGTCTAATTATTTTTCTTTGTTCTTGTGCTTCTTCTTTCTTCTTCTTATTATCTTCTACTTTAGTTAAATATTTTATTCCCTGTTCTGAAGTAAGAACGGATGGAATTTTTGATCGAGGTTTTTCCCTTTTTATTTTTATATAAGTCTTTTTTAGGCCAAAAAACAGATTTTCCAAAAATTTCTGGCATTTGCATTTCAATAGTTGAGTTATAATTCGCTTTTGTTTCATCTTGATCAATTTCCACAATATTAGTAACATCTTTAAGAGGTTTACTGCTTGTTTCGACACTAATAAGCTGGTCTTCATTTGTTTTACTTTGTTTTACTACTATTTCATTAAAATGATCTTCAAGACAATTTTCATTTAGTATAGTGCCGTGTTCATCAACAATAACATTCATACAACTAGACTCGAGAAGAAACAGTTCTGCATTATGCTCACTATTTTCTACATTTGTATTACATGGAGATAGAACCTGCAAATACTAATTTTTTAAGAGATTTAGGAATAAAAATTATTTCTCATATCTTTCTTTTCTTCATCAAATCTGTTTAAAAAAAAAATAAATAAAGTTTGAGAAGTACATCTGCAATAATCTAGTCGAACTAAATCTAGTCTTATTTTAATGTGTGTGTGTATACAAATGTAAAAATATATATAAAATTAAAATTTTTCTTTTATATACTTCAATATATTACTCATTCATTATATACCTCAATGTCGCAAGCCTTAGTTTCAATATTCTCGTCATTAGGATCAATATTAACAAATAATATGTCATCTTGAGTAATATTTGGAATCTGAAATATTAATATCATTTAATTTAATGCCATTGTTTATTAAATATAAATATTTATATATGCACCTTTTCTGATTGTTTTTCATTGGATATAGTATTATACAATTTCCATCACCTTCAGAATTAGACATAAAATGTTTTCCTTCGTTCGATACCTGAAAAACATTTACTTATTTTACGAAATTATAATTAAAAAGCTTTTTTCTCATACAAAAAGTTCTTAACAACTTACTGTGTGTGTGTGTATTGGGATTAGTAACACTTAATTTTGTTACTTTATTCCAAAAGTAAAACAAATTTCTATCATCTGGATGACCTTTCCATTCATCATTTTTATTTTCTTTAAATTTTGTTATTATTTCAGGCCCCAACATGTTTTTCATATAAGCTAGAACTTTGCTGTGATCTTCATGACTGATTACTGATGTAGATAAAGTATTTTCTCTTTTTAAGATTTTGGAGAAATCAATTGCAGCTACATTAAAAGGATATAAACCACAAACTCGGAAACCATTTTTCAAAATATTAGCAACATCTATTCTTTCCAACGTTTCCTTTAGTTCCCCTCCAAAGTCCTCATATTGTATAGACAGCTGATTGAACTTAATTTTATAATTTGAGATAGTTTGTTTCCATGCAGTTTTCAAAGATTTAAATAGAGCTACATCCATTGGTTGGGTTATATGAGTTGAGTTTGGATGTAATGCTATCAACTCAATTTTGTGCTCAGCGCAAAAAGCGCTTAATGGTTGAGTAAGTGCGAACAGTGACCATCTACAAACAACACAACTGGAAACTGTATTTTGTTCTTAACTAACCAAGGATGAAACACATTTGCTATATACTATACTTAAAAAAATTTTCTCCCGTCATCCAACCATTGTCAGATTGTCTATAACTATAGTTTAATGGCATTTTAGTAACGATATGATTAGGAACTCTTTGGTATCGAAACAATATTAAAGGTGGTGCTAATTGACCCGCTGCATTACCAGTAATGAGTGTTGTTAAAGATTCTTTTTCGTTGTTATTTACAATATTATATACGTTTTTACAGCCTTTTTTAGTTAACACCGATCCACTTTGTATGTTCAAAGATAATGCTGTCTCATCTATGTTAAATATTCGTAATGGATCAATATTTATAAGATTATTTCTTTTTAAATAGTCCTCTACTTCATGGAACCAATTTTTAAGGCTTGCTTCGTTTATAACAGCACGAGTAAGACACACATTTTCTGTGAGCCTTTTAGCTAAATTTGTATGTCGACGTAAAAAAGCCTCATACCAATGTCGACCAGGTTTATCATCTTTAAAAGGATTCTTTCTATTTAAATTACGTACCAATACCTGCACACTATTAATTACTTGTAGTTTTGTGACAGGAAAACCGTTTCTGCTCATATAAAAAATCCAATCTACCAATATATATATAATATAATAT